GTAAATACCAGATATCTCTTCTTGAGATACACATGAAGTTCCTTTTACTTGTCGCAATAATGAGACTATTTCAGTAGCGAAGTAGTAAAACGGTTTAAATCGACTTATCTCCCAGTTGAGTTTTTTTGAGGAATATTTCCGAATCTACGGGAGATAGCGGAATTTTCGTAATTACATTTGTTGTAGCACTCAATCGGCTCCACAAAAAAGGTTATAACAAAAATTGTGCTATCTCCCTTAGATTCCGAGATATTGATTGAAAACTGGTCAATAGTCAACATTGACTTATCTCCTTTTACCACTTCGCTACTGATTTGAATTTAGTCAAGTGCTCTTCACCTGCACAACGATTGCACATGCCGATCATCATGCGCCTACCTCCCATGTCATTATCATAATATTGTCATGTCTATTAGCGTAACCCTGACGAGTCAAAGGTTTGTTTACTGTGATGAGTAACGGTATGCGTATTTCCATGGAGTTAATTTATAAGACGGACGTCCCCATTTTTATCCGCGAGCAAAATGCCGCGATTGTGAAGGTCGGATGAACAACTTCTCATCTTGTGCGTTCAGTTTTCCATAAGAAATCTGAAAAACTGATTTGAGAAGAAATATAATTCAACCGAACAAAATTATATCAAGCGGTAAAACGGTTTGTCGACTTATTGTTAGGTTTGAGCTGAGTTTTTGAGGAATATCTCCGAATCTAAGGGAGATAGCTAAATTATTATAATGACCTTTTTCGTAGAGCGAATTGAGAGCTACGAAAAAGGTCATAACGAAAATTTTGCGATCTGCCTTAGATTCCGAGATATTCATTGAAAACTGACCCCTTGTCAAAAACTGATATACAAGCAATTTTCCTCTTGCGTGGATTTCAGAAAAACAAATATTATTTTTAAGTTACTGGGGATGTTTATTCATTGATAGTGGTATCAGCGACACTTTTCTCGGGTAAATCACGAACTCGGGCGCGAATTGTTGCAATAAAGTGGGCTTTTATGAAGGTGTGAAGTGCTTCTTAATGCAGATAAGAAAAAAATTCGTGTTGATTATTCTGCAAACGTCTGGGTAAGAGAGAGAAGGGTGGAGAAAATGTTAGCAATGACTTGGAAATCTGCTCCGACATCCGTCACTAATGAGATAATTCAACAACTTGCGAGAATGTAACGAGGCAATTTGAGTTTTGGATTAGAAAACATCTAATTATTAGTTTTATTTTTCAAACATTTCTGTTCTGTGAACAAATGTTAGCGAATTATCATTTGTCAGAGAGAAGGCTTATGGGGTAGATAATTTATAACGACAGAAAGTTTTCAATCATTAGAATCTTCTTCTTAAAAAAAAAAATTCCATTTTTTTTTCATTTTTTTTATCAATAAATTTTCGTTGAAAAGCCGAGTTTTTAAATGGCTTCAGATTTTAAAAAATTTTCCTAAGAATAATTTCATCATCTGATCATACAATGAACTGTAAATAATAAAATCATTTTAAACTTTCTTTAAATAACGAATTAATTTCAAAATGTCCTGTCACTAGTGTAATATTGGATTTGAATGGAAGTTGGACTACAAATGTTGACACAGTTCTCAACGAAAAAAGGTCAAAGCACTTGGAGGCCGTCGAGCATGAACTTTCCGGTGATTAGATGATTGTTCTAGTTATCTTGGTGATAAAGAGTTCGAAGTTGCTTGACCTTTCATCCTAAATTTTTTTTTCCGTTGTTTATCCGAAAGTTGCTCACTAGCAGGATAATTCAACAAAGATCCGAATATTTATGTGTAATAATAGCAATAATATTGAGAAGTGTGAAATTGCTCTTGTGTTGCGTACAGCCATCATTCATCTTCGAACTCGGTCAAAAGGACCTCCAAACAAATTTTTTAAGCCGTCATTCCCTCAATTCAGAACATTTTTTTAGTTATCGTGGGACAACCGATTTTCGAAAAAATTCGAAAATAAAAAAAAAAATCGATGAATTAAATTTTAATTAAAGGCGATCGATAGGGCTCAACAATACCTACATTAAAAAAAAAGATTCAATTCCAACCATTCATTAGCGAACAATTGAAGAAAAACTTTGTTACGTACGTAAATTGCAATATTATTATTATAAATGGGAAAAAAAATGTTTCTTTTATACCAATTGCTGGAAAAATAAAAAAACAATCAATTAGTCCCAAATTCATGCTCAAAAGCCGTTCAACATTTTCCAGTTGGTGTTAAAAAAAATTCGGATTTTTGTTGAATGAACGAAAAAAAAAAATCCGATTTTGATTTTAATTTGTAGTTTCGTCACGAGACGTTCGATTGACCTCGTTTTTCCAAAAACATTTTTTCGGAAAACTAGAACATTCATTCAATGAGAAAAAAAATGCGCATCTAATCGACAGTTCTGGCAATTCCTCGCGATGTTCGATGATCTTTAGAATCGATCAGCGTTCATACAACATTAATTTATCTCCCACCACGCCTCTGGAGGAACAGCTTTCTTTCGCAAGAAAAGAGTTTTTGATAAGTCAACAATTCTCATTTCTCCTGACTGAACATCTCATGTTGCATGTCGGTAACTCGATTCAGACAGGAGTGGACAGTTTCATTTGACTGAAGTATAACTACACTATAATATTCCAGCGTTGAACACCGCGATATTTTTTTTAATCCACGCATGCGCCTTTTCTCCATGTAACGAGACATTACAACATGTGCGCACATACACGGGCCCCCCAGGACTGCATGGAGCATTGTACATGTGGCGTAGCTTCCGTGTGCTGGTTTGTATGTAGCACGATGGCAACACAAATGTTGTAGTCGTGGGAGTTGTGAGAGTAGTCGTGAGGAAGAGGTGCTGTATAAGAGTCTGCACGGGCTGACGACCCGGCAGTCTGCGACACGTGCTGTGATTATCAAAAAGTGGGAGAAAGTTTTGGACAATTTTCATAAACGCAATTTCACGTTCTATCATTTTTTCATCCCCCCAAAGTGAAAATTTGAGGGAACCCAAAGTGTTTTATCCACAAAAAAAAATTAAGGAATATTTTTCATTGAGAATATTCACGAATTAAAATCGAAAAATATTAGTGTTTTTTTTTTGGAGAAGAAATTCGGTAATTTTTACTTGAACAATTTTCGTGCTCAAATTTTGGAATTTTGGAATGCCTTATATCAAACGCAGGGTAAGATGAAGCAATTTTAAGCAATGAGTAGGTGATTTTCTTTTGTACATAAATTAATTTTTTTATACGCAAAATATTTTTAAAAACGAAAAGTGGAGAAGAAGAAAATAATATTTATAAATAGCAAAAACGAATGTCTGAATTTCACACGCCTTTTGTGGACATTTGTCAGACACTAAAAACGTCTGAATGAAATGAAAACGTGTTTGAATTGCAGACGATCCGGTGCCCAAATTTTCATTTTATTCAGACGTTTTTTAGTGTCTGAAAAATGTTTACAAAAGCCGTGTGAAATTCAGACATTCGTTTTTGCCGTGTATGTACTAAACTTAGTTGGGTTGAACGAAATTACACTGAATCACCGAGAAAAATCAATTTATCGATTGATTTTTCTTACATTGTTGTGAAAATTGGCTTCGATTTTTCCCAAGTTAGAGTGGAAGTTATTTCGATTGAGTTTCAGCACTGCATCACTCACAATGTTGTCACATTACGTAAAAAAATCACGGGTAATAAGACGGTTGACGTCCGAAGGAGGAAAAAGTTATTGAGAGTCTATCAAGTGCTTCTAAATTGCGTCCCAATCTCGATTTGTCTCTTGACGTTTTGCTTGTTTTTAACAGTAACTATACTCATTAATTTAAAAAAATGCAATTGCCCCCTGTGTTTAACAGAACGAATCGTAAAATATCCTCCGCAAAAATTTTTTTTTAGATTTAAAATTTGCGAAATGTTATCAATATTATCAAAGCACACAACTCCACATCGAGAAATTGGGCTTTTGTCATGCGAACGCCCACAAATATCTAAATTCAGATTTAGTTTAGCACACACTTTGCATGGCGCGATGTGATTGAACTTTGAAATCAGACGATAAGAATGAATGCGATTTCTTTCTCGCGAAAACTTAGCACCGCGGACTTTATCGCTCATTCTAATATCTATCAAACTACCAATGGCGACTACAATGATAATCCTTTCAACTCGGAGATACATAAATCATTGGAGTCACAAAACTTTTTCCACGAGGTTTCATTCATGTGGAGGCGCGGTGGAGATAATACGGAGTAAGTGGGACGCGATATGAGTTTTTGGTCTGTTATTCTGCTCTGTGATAAATGGAGCATGTTGAATTAGAAAATCATTGGTGGCACGAGCACATGTCAGTGACAGTTGACATCAATCAATCGACCTACGATCGTTCGTCTATTTTGTTTGAAGAAATCTGCACTGAAGCCCTGAGAACAGATGTCCTAAGATCTCTATGAATTATCTGATATCCGAAGGTTCCTAGACTGCGAAGAAAATGTCAGGAAATGTTTGTTGCAGTCCGTGGAATTCCCTGTGGGAAAATTTGGAGAAATAATATAAATTTTCCCTTGATCCCAATTGAAAACATTATAAATATTCGAAAATCCTATTCACAAAATACATAACGCGCCAAGTGAAAATATCGTAGCTTAGTTTGCTCCCAGTTTTCTCCCATATTTTAGTAAAAATTATCGAGGAGACGAGCCGCACTCGCCACCCTTGACCATCGGCGACCTTTAATCGATCTCCTCCAGCGCCGATATGAGCATCAGTTTCTATCTACAATGGCCAGATCGTAGATTAGCATCAATTAGACCAATCGCCCGATCTTCGTATGACATGTTTTGAGCATCGTCACCCTAATTGAATGATAGGGGCTCGTCCGAAAGAGCCACGCGCGCTTCGCTTATAAATATTAATCCCTGGGCCATGGCGTATCTGATGATTCCCATGGGTGAATCTAATCCCGAATGAACAGACACTCATCACGGAATTTTCATTCTGATTTCAGGGTCTTAATGGGCGATTGCTGTTCGCTATCGCAGCTGCTGCGCTGGGATCATCCTTCCAGCACGGTTACAACACTGGTGTTGTGAATCCCCCGCAATCGGTGAGCATATCTATCTAATAATTAGATTTTGGTAAAAATTATTGTCAACTGCAATTATAAAACTAAAGATTACTATGTGAGCATAGTCATATCGAGGATCATACCGGAAAAACTTCAAAATTTTTAACGGACAAAGCAGTATAAAACGTACGGCCAAAAAAAAGTTTCAAAAGTGCTAAAACCGCTGAATTTTTTAACCAACTGTTTTCATTATCAATGAAAAACATGTGGACAATCGTAAGAAAAACATGTTTTCTAGGGATATACCTCAACAATTGCTGTTTCCGCAGTAAAAAATAATTTTCTATTCCTTGCCCCGTGTAATAAGTCGTCTCAGGACAAAATGTCAAGATAACATTCCCCAGATTATTTTCGAAGCAACCGAAACACCGAAAGATCCCAACAAACTAATGACCAATTCTATTCCCCCCCAGTTGATAGAAAGCTGGATAAAGAGTGTGAAAGGCAACCGAACAGGCGAGGAAGTCTCCCAGGAGCAAGTCACGGCAATATGGTCGATAGCAGTAGCAATCTTCTGCGTGGGTGGTATGATCGGTGGTGCCCTGGTAGGCACAATTGCCGACAGATTCGGAAGAAAAGGTGGTCTCCTCCTGATCAACATCCTCGTCGTGATCACAGTATTCCTAGAGGGATTCTCGAAGATGGCGGCGAGCTACGAGATGCTGATCGTCGGTCGTCTCATCATCGGCATAAACTCTGGCCTCAACGCCGGTCTCGCCCCGATGTACCTAGCTGAGATATCTCCGATGCACCTTCGAGGGGCCGTCGGAACCGTCTACCAACTGGTCATCACGATTTCCATTCTGATCGCCCAGATCCTCGGTATGAATCAGCTCCTCGGTACCGAGCAACACTGGCCACTTCTTCTGTCTCTCACCATCGTCCCAGCGATCTTCCAATGTCTCACTCTACCCCTCTGCCCCGAAAGCCCGAAGTATCTTCTGCTTTGCAAAGGCAAGGACGTGGACGCCCAGAGATCGCTGACCTGGCTTCGCTCCAGCAACGATGTCTACGAGGAGATGGAGGAGATGAGGGCTGAGTACGAGTCTATGAAGATGCTGCCGACTGTTGGCTTGAGAGATCTTTTCGTCAATTCCACTTTGAGAATTCCGCTGGTCATCGCTATCATGGTCATGCTGGCGCAACAGCTGTCCGGTATCAATGCTGTTATGTTCTTCTCCACGAAGATCTTTAAGATGGCTAGTTTGGATGACGCTGCTGCGCAGTCGGCGACTATGGGAGTTGGAGCTATGAACGTCGTTATGACACTAGTGTCTTTGGTTCTTGTGGAGAAGTGTGGACGGAAGACACTACTGCTGTTTGGCTTCGGAGGGATGGTTATTGATACTGCCTTGTTGACCATCTCCATCAGTTACGCTGTAAGTCTTTCGTTAGAACCTATCAGTAATCAAAGGGAAACATTTTATCGTCCCATTTCATTGCACGAAAACTGAAGACAGGTCATTCATCATTTTGTTTTGTTTTTCTGGTCTTCTAATTTTGCTTGGAAATGATGTAGAATGACATGAAAATGTCTGTAGATGTCTGTAGGTGTCTGATTTTCTCAGTTTTCTCATTTATAATCTCCGCTTGTTTTCTTGTAGGACGTGTCAACTGCCGCAGCCTACTTGTCCATCATCTTCGTCATCCTCTTCGTAGTTCTGTTCGCAACAGGTCCTGGCAGCATTCCCTGGTTCTTGGTCTCCGAACTCTTCAATCAATCAGCAAGACCCGCAGCCACATCAATTTCCATTGCCATCAACTGGTCCGCCAACTTCATCGTAAGCATAGCATTCTTACCCCTTCAAGAAGCCTTGGGACCCAAAGTATTCATCATCTTCGTGGTCATTCAATTGTTCTTCACACTCTTCATATGGAGAAAAGTACCGGAAACGAAGAACAAGACAATCGAGGAGATTAGCAGCATGTTCAGGCAGATATCTTATCAGTGAGGTCATCACGTGTAATTACTTCATTATTAGAATTATCTTGAACAAGAATAAGGGACAGCAAGAGGTAAAACAAGTCCTTCCATTATTTTGCAGTTCGATGCATTTTCTTTTTCTTATTCAATGATGGTTTCCTTGATAAATGAATGATTCTTATGCGCCATTTATTCATCAATGAACTGGCCTTTTATTATTATCGTAATTATCCGGAGGATTACGTCGAACTGATAGATAAGGACTACCTGATTTACATGTAATTAATCGAATTAGTTTCTGTTACTACTGCGGTGGATAATTGGTTTTAAAAAAGGAGAAAAGACACAAAAATGATACTAAAATCACGGATAGACTAAGAAGTGATTCAGGCTCGTTATGATCAAGTCTTTCTTTGACGTCAATTTTATTTTTTCATATGGGAAAAGTTTATGGAATCGTCGATTCCAACTCTAGTCAAGAATCAGCTCTTTTTAAATCTTCACGATTTTTCTTTTTGCAAATGTCAGTCATTGGTTTTCATCCGTTTTACTGGATTCTCTCTGATGTATTTGATGCGCAGTAGAAATGATTATGGCTAATTTCACAATTGTGAAAGAAACTGAATTTTTCAATAGTGAAGCAGTCAGCAATACCAGGCGATGAGTCCAAAGGACAAGGATTTGCTGAAAATTTCATGAGATATTCGCGTCTTCTGATATGTTTCTTTAAGCCTATCAGTTCCTGCGTTCTGTTGAATCACTTCGATACAGATTTCATAATCTGATTATGCACATTACCCGTTTTTAGATGAACAACGAAAGGTTTATAAAGATTATTCATGTTTCTGATGATTTTAATCACCCGCGAAAACTGGAAAGTCTCATGACAGACAGCTTTGTACCTTCATTACGGGTATAACTGTACAGAGATGAAATTATTGGGCTGAGGCATTAAAACTCAGTCAATGCCTGTGTCCACAGTTATCCCACCAAATACAAATGATAGTTGTATACAATTAACAGAAATTTAGTTGAAGCCGTGCTAGTGTTATTTTGATTAGGTGAGATGTGTCATGTCTCTTGGCAGCGAGAATTATTTAATTTATATATCGAGAATTTATTGTGTAGCAACATTGGCCAAGTGCAAAGTGCTCAACGATGATTATTTTTATTGAAGTCGAGGCCATGTTTTTTTTGCTCCTTTCTATCGGAATAGAACGGTGGAAATTTTTATCGTGCAATTTTGCAGTGGCTGTTGCTGACGAGCAATAGAAATCGATATGATTGTCTGTGAGGCAAATACGTATTTTATTCTTTAATTTAGTCCTTTTTTTAAAATAATGAACTCAATACTCATACGTTAGTAGTCGTTTATCCATCAAATGGAGCGGTGGCTCTCACATTTTTTACTAGATGAAAATTGAAATTATACTGGGCAGTGTTAATGCTCTTGAGTTAACTGTTTGATTATTGATATGTGAATTAGTTTTATTGATGCGAAGGCTTTGTGGACACTGAAACAATTGTGCACAAAATACAATTGCCCAGTACAGAGTAATGAGTAGAGTGAATGCATGCCGAGAGGTTTTTATTTCATACAACATTCAGATTCTTACACAACAAGCTGTAGTTGATTGATTCCGACCTTGAAATTGTAGTTGTTTTTATGTAAGTTTAATTAATAAATGTTATTGAATTAATTTAGAAATGGTAACGTGCAGTTGTAAGACTTAGGTTTTTTTAGTCGTGTTCTTTTATATATGGAAAAAACAGTGTCGATGTAACATTCTAGATGTTTAAACAAAAATATAAGTCATATCGCAGTGTAATGTAAACGAAGGAACCATTTTCATTTTGTAAGTGTTATTGTGCACAATGGCGGAGGATTTTGATTTTGGTATCAGGAAAGTGGATTCCGTTGGTAAATCCATCACTATGATGTATGACTGGATACAATATAATTGCGATATACGTATTTTTGATGCTGATATATTTACTGTTGTCCGAAATAAAGAAATTATTGAAGTAATCTGTGCTGTTTGGGGGATTTATTTGGGGTGTTTATTGGATTTTGAGTTCTTCAGTAGTTGATGTTTGGGGTTTTTCGACTGAATAATTTTGCTGGTGAGTAATTTCAGGAGGAATTGAAATCGAAATAATAGTTTTTTTATGAAAATTGTGAGAAGAAAATGTGGAATAGCCAACAATTGTCATTTTAACTACATTGAAGGGCTTTTTATAATGAAATCAATTGATTTGAAGGCAATGAGAAGCAAAAGTGAGTCCAGAAAAAATTCTAAAGGACTTAATTCATTGCATTCTCATAAGTTGCTGAGTTTTTCTATCCGCGTATATTGTTGACACAGGCGAATCACTGTTTAAATCGCTGATTTAAAACTTTTTTCAATAGCTGGGGAATCTTATAAAAATTATCTATGAAAAGCATGGGGAAAACCTTAAGAAAAACGTATTTTCTAGGGAGACCTTAAGGATTTTTTTATAGCCTTCAATTCGCTCTATGCAAACAGTTATTAAGAAAATTTCGTTATCGCCCTTATACTCGGAGATATTCCTAAAAACTCAGCTGAGGGCTAGAATAGCTATTTTCGTCACAAGGCCGCAAAAAAACTTTTCGGACGGGTGTGAAGGTTGCAGACTGAGGCGAAGCCGAGGGAGCCGTTTTACCACTTCACTACTGAAATTTTTCTTACAAATTAATTAATTCAATCAATCAAATTACGAAATAATAACGATTCAATCGATCTATTAGTGTGGAATCTACATTATCGTCGAACGAACATGTTATCTAGTCCAGATGCTACAGCTTATGTAGATAATTTCGCGATTTCCCTGATGATCCTGCAGATGGTGCTAGCTAACTCGTTTTAAAATCCACCTTACACTGAACACTATGAACATGTTGACCATAATTAGTTGAATGTAAAATTGTAGAAAACATTTTCTCATGTGCGTGTCAAACAAAAACTGGAAAGAGATAGAGGACGATATTTTTTTTTAATTTGCAAAGATGATCAAAATTTTTTTAATTAACGTGCAGCTGAAAATAATTAAGTACAATATGAAGATGAAAATTACTTCGCCAATAATGTTCACTAACTACAGGCGAAGCACACTCGAGGCACGTGGGAGTTCTCTCCGAGGATCATAAAAATTGCAGGTGCATGCTCACAATACACAATGCACGGTCTTTTCGCGGGCGGCGAACCGCCGTTTCGGATTTCCGTTGCACGAACCTCCACTTCCCTTCTCAAACTCTGAAGATTAAAAAGCAAAGCCTGGGTCGCAGCAGTCGCCGTATGTCGCTTAAATAAATCATATTCCATCTCGCATAAGCGTAAATGATTGCTAACAAAATTAGCAGTATTTTTTTTTGCTTCCGATTTTTTTTGCCTCGGAAGTCTTGTGTTTGACCGATTTTTCAATTTTCTAATTTTGATCTCTGATAATCTCTAATAATCTCATAGTTCCAGCTACAAATCGAATCAATTTTCTTCGAAGAAAACCTTGGCAAACGTAATATTAAGAAAATAGAACATTCTCTTTTCTTCTGACCTAAATAATTTCGACAATTATGATTCGTTTATTCATGTTTCATAGAATGGTATGCAATAATTTCATTTAAATTTGATGATTATACCGATATCTGCATGTTTGTGCCAAACATGAGAGTGCGCCGGAATGAAAAATTTTTGTCGCAAAAATAGATTTAGTAGTTAAAAAAAAATTGCATTCTCTGTACACGCAAGAAATGTCATTTCTATTTTGCTCCCGAAGAATCTTTATTTTTCAGCGATTCTGTTGGCCCAAATAAGACTTGTTTGACGTGTTTGTTTTTCTCTCAGTGCGTGTGCAGAGACCCTACGCACAGCGGATGTATCGAGCATAAGGCCCATCAAAAGTATCCGCCGAAGACCGACAAATGCCCGCTGGCTAATCGCGCGTGGACGAGGCGTCCGAGGAATTCGATCGAGACACTCAATGAACATTCACCACCGATGGCATAAGACGTAAAGCCATATGGCACACGCGTGCCCCCAGCATGGAACTAATGGGCCACCGTTACACGAGCCGAAGGAAATTGGACCTCCAAGTGCCACAAGATTGTTCATGAAAACACACTTCCCCCTTTCGCGGTCTTCTTCCTCATTGTCTTATGACTGCTATAAATTTCTCTAATTTGAACGGGGGGTACTGCACTTGGGGCTCGGCTCCCCAGCGAGCGGTCGATCGAGCGAGGAGTGCCGTTGGTACCTCGGAGATTATTGCTGGGGTAGTGAATGTTATGGACAACCAAGCATGGTAATGATTTCTTTATCAGCTGCTCGATTGAGTCGTTGAGGGCACCATCGAGTTTATGATTGAAGTTTCTTTTATGGGAGACGTTAGTGTCTGCGCCGTTATTTTCGTGCGCAGGGCGCAATAAATTTAATCTATAATGACAGTTGGGGAATTGGAATGGGGTAATGAGTGATCGGGGCAGTTATCGAGAGAAAATTCTTGTGGAGATGGTGATTTATTCGTAGGAATTATTTGGGATATTCACGGAGAAAAACAGTTTTCGTCACGAGTGCGCAAAACCCCACTTTCCAAACGTTGTGATGAAATAGCTAATTTATCGCATTCTGCTGAAAACCGTCATTTTGCGGATCGCTTTTTGCTCGTGGAATAGTGTTTTCTGGGGTGGTAACGCCCTCTAACCAATGAGAGCGCGCAATTTCATTCGGCTATTCGCAAATATTATTTCGGGTACCATCGGCTGTACGGAATAATAATTTAACTTGAGCCAAAACTAAAAAAATTGAATAAAGTAATTTTTTTCAATTAAATTTTATCATTAAATTTTCTCAAATTTGTACGTTAACTCCCCCTTGAGACTCCACTACCTTCCCAACTACCTGAACAATCCTAATTTTTCGACGCTTTCCGCCATTGATGCTTTTCTTAACAGTAACATTTATAATGACATGAAAATTCTATATTGCTTCGCAAGGAAATGCTTCCAGCTGCGTGCTTCTGTACTGAATGATTACTTTGGCCCCTCCCTGCACCGCTCACTGCCTGTCTCTTTGCCAGAATTATGTTCAGCTTATTTTATCAATTAACTCACTATTTACTGCTTTTGATTATTGATTGCTTTTGTTTTTTACGACCACGTAAGCAAGTTTATTTTCACATCTTACCAAATGAATAAATAAATTTGTACGTTAAATTTTTAATTTGTACAAAAGGAAACGAAAAATAATACAGCGCGAAGAGCGTGAATGTGACTGTTTTTTACGGGGCATAAATTTCGAGCGGTTGCAACCGCGGGAAAGTTCGTTCGTTACAAACTCCAAAGGAAATGCACACCGCATCTCAGTTGCAGGTGAAGTTTTTACATCGGCTTCTCTGAACACTTCGACACGACTGACCGATTGTGAGACGGCGCCCTTGATCGTCTCTATGACTTACACGTGTATACACACGTTAGGGCGCTGTAAGTACCGGAAAATATTAGCTGCGCCAGTCCAACGGGTTCATGTGGGGTGGCCGAGTATAACTCCCCTGATCGGCAAACATCTTGCATACATATTTATGCGTATAATTGTCTATGCTAATTGTTTTGCTTCACTATTCACAATCATGGGAATATTGTTGTTTATGAGAATGGGGAAGAATAATATTAACACATTTTTAAATATTTTTCTAGGACGTAAGCGGAATTTTTCATTAGGATGATGGAATTTTTTTTTGCATAAAGATAAAAAAAGGAGTGGAGAAACTATTGTGTTTGGATATATTATGCGGTGAATATTAATGAGTTCAACACTAGGGGAGAGTGGGGCAAAATGAAACATTCGAAAACATGAAACAAGCGATAAAATTTTTTTTTATCAACTATTTTTTCTATTTACTTTTGTTTATCAAATTTTTTTATTATTGGGAGTACTGACGAGAAGTTTTGACGGGAGAAGATTGTGTCAATGGATTAATTGAAAAGAAAATGAAGCAGAAAAATCCAAAGTCCGGAGGAAGGCCCAAGGGAGACCCAGAGGGGGAAAAAAGAAAATGTGAAAATAAAAATGTATAAATGTATAAAATTACTGAAAATTATAAATATTGTCGTCTCGATGTCAGTACTCCCAATAATAAAAAAGTTGATAAAGAAAAGTTGATAAACAAAAAGTTGCCAAAAAATTATTTGTCCGCGCTAAAATTATCAAAATTTGTTTTGTTTTTGTGCAAAAAGTGTGAAGAAAAAATGAATATGTGCAACCATGCGCTACGCATGTAAGTTTTTACGACACTGTCTGTTCTGCATACGCAAGAACCCAAACGTAAAAAATCGTAAATTACCCCGAAACAATTAGAGCAGCAGAAATAAAAAAAAGATCATTCTAGACAAAGAATCCCCGTATTTTCAATTTTTTTCCCTCGGAGGACCCCAGCGAAGTGCTTCCGGGGTAGTTCGAGGGGGTAGAGAAAGGAAGAGGAAGGATGCTCGACTACACACAGTCCAGAGTGATATGATTTAACATATTTATAACTCAGGTGAAATCCACGGGGCAACCCCTGCTGAAAACATCACCCACCCCATTTCAATTTCCATCCCGGTGAGGTTTTTCGAGTTTGATGTGTACAAGTGTACAAGTGGAAGTTCAGTAAAGCGTGCAACCCCCGAATATGTTGCATGGTCACGGGCTAAAAAAGCCACATCCGTGAATGTATTTGCGTATCGTTGATGATCACCTGCAATCGGCACACATTATGCAGATATTTTTCGGAGGTATTCGTCACTGAATACGCATGGCATTATCTCGAACATGGCGGAAATCTCGAACGAATGGAGAAAGTAAGGGGGTTCTCATGAGTGCAATCGTCTTGCGTTGAACTTTCATGAAGCCCACCCAACAACCTGAGAGAATTGAATACAATTCCATGAAACATGGATAAACGAATCATAATTGTCCAAATCATTTGGGTCAGAGGAAAATAGAATAATTCAACTTTCTTAATATCGCGTTTACT